AGAGGACAAGTGAGGTTCATCCTTAAAGTCTTTGTGAAACTCAAAAAATGAACAATTCTTTGAAAACAAAAGTTGAGGAACTAACAAATTATCTTACTAGCTTTGTGAAATCCACTAAGACATTTTAAAAAAATTATAAGATCTCAAGTTGGAATATTTGACAAAGCTTGGGTAGGTTTTAGAACCTCACAAAAACAAAAACTCTATGAAAAAAAATTTGTACACTAAAAGGAAGATCTAAAGTTTAAAAAAAATGCTCTTACTACAGAAAATCTGGACATGTTATGTCAGATTGTTATCATAAGAAAAATGTTGCAAATTTCAAAAAAATATTTTTCCATTGCGGTAAGCCTAACCATCACGAGTCAAAGTGTTATTATAAAAAGTTTTGAGAAAATTAAGAGAAGATGTTCTTTTTGTAACATATGTGGTCATCATGAATCAAAGTGTTATAATAAGAAAATATTCCATAAAGGCATTAACCATCAAGGACCCAAATCATTATGGGTACCCAAATAATTACTAACTAATGATACATGAATATCTTTTGGAAAACAAGAAAAAACTTTGGTACTTGAAAAATGGTTGCTCAAGACATATGACTGGAGATAGAAAATGCCTCCTATCATTCAAAGAAAAAGATGGTGGATCAATAACTTTTGAAAATAATGTCAAATCCAAAATCAAAGATAATGACTTTGAGATTATTTTAAAACCTAGCATGTGTGAAGTAAAATCATCATCCTTAAAAAAAAAAAACATTTTCTTTGGATAAAGGAACCTAGATGATAATGGATTTGAAGTTATTTTAAAACCTAGATAATCTCTCAATTGATTATGCTTCATATCCATTGATAAAGAAAGATGGATCTGACATAGAAGAGTTGGTCGTATAAGTATGAAGACTTTTTTTTCAAATTATTCAACCTTGATCTAGTTAAAGGTCTTTCCAAACTCAATTTTGATAAAGAAAAATATATAAAGTTTACTTTAAAGAAAAATAAGTCAATAGTAGTTTTCATTCCGAAAATACAATTTTTACAAATAAGTCTTTTGAATTTGTTCATATTGATCTTTTTGGTCCTATCAAGACTATAAGTCTTAGTGGAAAGAAATATGATCTTGTGATAGTTAGTGAAATCTCTAGGTTTACTTGAATTTTATTTCTACAAGAAAAAGATGATTCTTTTTATGCATTTTAAATTTTTTGCAAAAGGGTTCAGCATGAAAAACAATTACATGTTATTTATGTAAGAAGTGATTCTGGAAAAGAATTTAAAAATTCATCATTTAAATATTTCTTTGATGAAAATGGAATCACTTGTGATTTTTCTTTTCCCAGAACTTCTAAACAAAATGGAATTATTGATGGAAAAAATAGAACTTTGAAAGAAATGGCTAGAAAAATTTTATTTCAATCAAATGTTGAAAACCAATTTTGGGCCAAAGCCATAAACGCTGCTTGTTATATTTTGAATCATGTTTCAATTAGATATATCTTAAATAAAACTCTAGATGAACTTTGAAAAAATAGAAAATCAAACATATCATACATTCATATTTTTTGGGTGCAATTGTTATATTTTAAATAATAAAGAAAGTTTGAAGAAGTTTGACTCAAGATCAATTTGATGCATATTTTTAGAATACTTAACATCCTCCAAAAAATATAGGATATACAATCTCAAAAATCAAATTGTAGAAGAAAATATACATGTTATTTTTGATGAATTTAACAATTTTGATGATAAAAGAAAGGAAAATGATGATGAAGATGAACAACACCACAATTTTGATATCAACAAACATAGTGAGGATATATAAGCTCCATCATCTTAAGATCCTCCAAGGAGTTGAAAATTTGTCAAATATCATCCTCAAGATCAAATTATTGAAAATATTTCTAATGGAGTCAGAACAAGACAATCTTTTAAAGAAAATCCAAACAACGTGGTTATTATCTCCTAGTTGATCTAAAATCAACAAACGAGTATGAGAAGAAACTAAAATATAACTTGAAGATGTTTTCACCATTGAGACTAAAAGTAAGAAACATCACTTAATGAGGTATATGTTATTTCTATGTTTTATTTATATGCATTTATCTTAAACTTTTGGATGATTCATCTCTTTCTCTATAATTTTTCATGTCTTTGCCCTTTCTTTTTGCATGATGACAAAATGGGGAGAATGACTAGGGGAGAAATTATTTAAAATTAAAAAAATATAAAAATATTCAATTTTTTATACCTAAATTGAAGGGGAGCACAATCTATTTATTGATGCATCAATTAAGGAGGAGTAAAAAATTTCTCCAATTTGAAAAATTAAAATCTTAATTACAAGAAGTTTTCATCATAAAAAAGGAGGAGATTATTGAGAAAAAAATATCTTTTAATGTTTTCAAAACAACAAACTTTTGGGTAAATATAATTAAGATTATGATCTTATTTGTTATTTGATGTGTGCTCTTGAGTGGAAATAATTAAGTCAGGTTCATTTATTCTCACTCGAGATATTATGTTGTGGTATAATGATTCCTAAAAGAATAACATTTCTCAAAGTTGAAGAAGAAAAATAAAGAATATATATTTGAGGATACAAAATCCAAAGATATAAGTTAGAGGATACAAGTGACAAGGATACAAGTGCGAAGATACAGAAGTTACTTGGGCACCAAGTAACATAAGATATATTTTAGCAGAGATGTGACTAAACATTATGAATTTTATGTCATAAGGTACAAAAGAAATAGTAAAAAGTACAAAAGAAATATTATTAGTTGCCTTTTAAAAGGTGGAAGTTGCAAGAAAAGTTTGAGAACTCAATAATATTTGGTCACCAAGTCACAAGTTATCATTATTGTTACCATTACTACTTTATATGAAGTGACATAAAATTGTTGGAACAAACTAGGAGTACAAGCATCATAGTACAAAATAGTTGTTCATCCTTAAGACGCTAGATCATAATCATTCTCTCTCACATTAATGATACACTTATAATTATCATGTTGTTTCATGACTATTTTCATGTGAGGCCTTAAAGACATGACATTAAGGTCTATAAATAAGAACGCTTTATTTATTTACAAGAGTGGCTTTTCATTTACAAAGAGAAAGAAGAACTCAAAATTATATTTCTAGTTACTTCATATTTTGTTTAAGTTATAATTGTACAATATACTGAACACATTGTTTTTCATAACAATAATCATTAAACTAACAACAATGTTACATAGCATTCTCATTACATGTTCAAAAACTAAAGTATATTGATAAACTCAAAATTCAAAAAACATAATGCTTTACCCTAATCCTATTTGAAATATAGTGTTACAAACACAAGGTTCAACCCTAAGTTCAAAATCTCAACCACAATGGACATTTTCAACTATCCTCTAGTCTGGAGAACCTCATTCTTCAATTTTGAATTTTTCTTCTTTTTCCTTTCAATCTTCAAATCCCTTTCACCAACAATTTCATCACCTAACCACTTGAAAAAATTACCCTTATTCACGTGATTTCTATAATTTCTACAACCCCAAAATTTTCTCTCATAGTTCACACTGTTCATATCACTGACAGTACAAAAAACACTTTCATTTTGGCAAAAATACTTCATCCTCTTTTTTCTACGAAGCATAAATCAAGTTGTCTCAAAGCTTTGGTTGTTTGACATTGAGGTACTACTTGCATACATTGACATTGAGGACAAAAATATGCAGCAATGGAAAGATGGTGATTGAATACAGAGGAAAACGAAGGAAAGTGATGATTGAATAATACGAAAGAAAGAACGCAAATGTCGTTGATTTTAGAAAACGCAGAAAACGAAAGAGGTAAGATGACGATTCAACCCTATAAGGTGTTTATAACACATTTGTTGAGTCAACATTTTACCATTTGCCTAGCTGTGAGGCCACGTAGTCAGTACTTAATGTTTTTTCAGAAAAAACTATCGGCAAAGACCATTTCAGGTGACAAAATGGTTTTAAGGGAATACTTTGTATTATTTTTTAGTTAAGGAAATAAAGTGAAACATTAAATTAAGTTAAGAGACTTGATGATTAATTATGCCTAGAATTAATGTCGGGTTTGATGTATCTCATAAATCTCTTTGGTTAGCAAACCCAACCCATTTTCTTTTCTAGATTGCTTTGTGATTGATTGGCGTTTTCTTGTATATTTGAGTTGAATTCCCCTTATATTCTATTTAGTAAATTATTTTTTATTAAATAGAGGGTCTAAGCCTAAAAGAAAACTACACCGAAATTAATTTAGGTGTAGGAATTCCTAATAAATCACTTTCAAACCAATGCTTAATGAAAGACGAACACGAATAAAAAATGTGAATAATATTAGGATGTTAGATTTCATTTCTTACTAGTTCATATGCACACAAATTAACTTTGCGATAAACATGCATGATTTGAATATCCTTATCATGCTTGAAATGAGATCTTATCTTCGTGATGAGCTTCCTATCCACGACATTGTTAGAATTATTAGTGATTATCTCTATAACCATTTGTTTAAAGTCAACACAAATATAATTTTGTTCCTCCAATCTATTTGCAAAGCTACATACCCTTATAAACTCTCCAAAATTCTATTGTATACACATCACAAACACCAATATTCTTCACGAAATTCCCAAACCACTCCCTCTTATTTTCTCTAATAATTTCTCCGCATCATTATTTTTATGAGAATTATTTTTCCTACCGAACTTAGTTATAAAAATATATTTTCAGGTAGCATGAAATTTAGAGGAGTGACAAGTTTAGATTTTAAGAATCCTACCACCAAGACCAAAATTACAACACTTACTTAGATTTTAAGAATCCTACCATCAAGACCAAAATTACAACACTTAGGCCAAAATGTAATTAAACAATCTTTTAATTAATTGGCCACCTATAAATAAACAAAACCGCGAGTTCCAAATTCCCAAAACCCTAACACTAAACCCTGCACCAGTCTCTACTCAACTCTCAAATGGCTATCTACACCGTCCTACGTCGTGCCACCGCCGCCGTAATTCCTCTGGCTGCTCGCCGCACGGTGGCTTCTTCTTCCAGAACATTCCACAGCGCACTCTCTGTCAAACTCCTTTCTCACCAAGAGATGATTCCTTTTGTACCTTCTCGTAGCTTCGCTAACGCCGTCGCAAAGAAGTCCATCCCAGATTCTAATCTTATTAAAGTACTTCAATCTGAAATCAATTGCGCCCTCGAGGACAATGAAGCTACTGAACAAGTAATTTTTCAACTATTACGTTTAACCCCTTTGTTCACCCCTAGTGTATTATAATTGTAAGTTTCTTCGAAATTTGTTTTTTTTCCTTCAGCTTTTTGTATTTTCTATTACTGTTTTTTTTTGTATGTTGGGTTAGAAGTTATATTAGATTGAAGTTCTGTATAATCTTTTAAATGATACATGTTTTGTTGTTGATATTGGTAGTTATGGTTTGTGGTGAATTTCCCTTTGTTCCATTTCTTTGTAAGGTGTAGAAGTTTTAGAATGTTTGTTACTAGTGTTGTCAATTGTGGATCGCAATAAACGGAAGATTGTTCTGGCATCACTATTTGATAAAACTGCTGTTGCCGAATTCCACCAAAAAAGTAATATTTGCGTTGGTTACGAGAAAGAGGAATTATGTCTTGTATCAATGTAGATTGAAGCTTGGATGTAGTTGATGTGAATTGTGTAAAATAGTTAGAGAGTTCAATTTTGTTGTGTTGGTGGGTAACGTTTTTTTTTTCTTCTTTTTATTTGTATTATACTAGCGACTGTGTAAGAGTTGTTTTTGGCAATCTGCGTTTGTTGTCTTCATATGCTACTCATTTCATTAATAAGCTAACTTAACTGTCGTTAAGTTTAAGATTGGTATCATAGTTTGAGAAAACTATGTGTGTATTCAAAACTGCTGTCATTGTGCATGTATGTTTTAAAGTGATTTATCCATGGCTGCTATGGCGGATTCACATGGCAGTTTTTGGGCTCGCCGCAATGGTAAATATCGACCGCTATTGCGGGTTTTCCCACCATTGTCTGCAATAATGGCGCCGCAAAGCGGCCAGTATTGCGGGATTTTGCCTCTCCGCCATGGACCGCCATCCACCATCGACAACACTGAGTGGTTGAAAATAAGTATGTTTAATAGGCCTTACCAGTCAGCTGTTTATCTTGGATTCTTTGTTTGTCTGTTTTAGTTGTTTGTGTAAAATATTTAATTTAATGAAATTTACACAACATTTTCCTGTTTTAGTTGTTTGTGTAAAATATTTAATTTAATGAAATTTACACAACATTTGCCAAGATATGGTATATCTTGGTTTGATTGAAAAACTTTATCCCTTAGATGTTTCTCATTCATATATTTCTTATTACTCACTTGGCACATGTGAAATTTAGTTTCAAGATTAGTCGGTTATTAGTCTTGTATTTTAAGATATGCAGTGAAATTCAGTTTGCATATTAGTCTTGTATTTTGGCTTAAATATGTTGTTAGTCCTACACAATCACGAGCTTTCAAGTTTATTCCCTATTAAATTTTAACTAAAAATTTAGTCATCCATAGTATTACATTTTGTAAAAATATTTCCTATTTTGAAAGCTTTTCACAAAAAAATGTACTTTTAGTCCTTCAAATAGTCCCTATAAAATACAAATAGTGACTAAAATATGATAATCTTTTTTAGGGATTAAACTTGAAAGCTGGTGATTCTGTAGGGACAAAAAATATATTAAACCCTTATATTCTTTGATTTGCTGCTATGAAGTCTATGCTGTAAGTAGGTTTGAATAGCTCTCGAATTGCTGCTTTCCAATTAGCAATACAAGTTTTCAACCCTTTTTCTCGTCTGAAAAGTTGAAATGTTGTATGAATTTGAGAAAATATGACATTATTGTTTGTGTATTATCTTTGATGTATAAAAATGCAGGACAATCATTATCAGTTTTGAGTGTCATATACCGATGAGTTTTCCTAATATTCTTTAATTTGTCTCTATGAAGTATATGTTGTAAGTAGGTCTGAATATAACTCTTAAATTGCTGCTTTCCAATGACCAAAACAAGTTTTCAGCCTTTTTTCTTGTCTAAAAGTTGAAATATTGTTTGAATATGAGAAAATCCATATTATTTTTTGTGGATTATCTTTGGTATATGAAAATGCATGACAAGCATTATCAGCTTTGAGTGTTGTTATATACTGATGAGTTATCCTGGCACATAAAATTATGTATTCTAGCAGCAAAATTTAAGATAGAAAGTTTTTCTCTTTTAGATTTTACCACCTGCGGTTCTTGTCAGGGGTCAGGAGTAACAGAGATTATCATAGGAAGTGTATGTGGATCACATTTGCTTTTGATATTTACAGCATTCGTCACTTTTATGTAACTTTTTCAGGTTGAAATTCCTGTTGGATTTCCTTTTGAGATTGAGGACAATCCTGAAGTAAGAACTATTCAATTAAAAAGACAATATGAGGATGAAGTTATCACAGTTCAAGTTGACATCCCTACCAGAACACCTGAAGAAAACGAGGGTGACGATGCAGATGACAATGAGAAGAATGATACTGAATCTAGCATTCCTTTGGTTGTGACTGTTTTCAAAGGAAATGGAGTGTCCTTAGAGTTTGGCTTGACTGCTTACCCTGACGAGGTTTTGATCGATAGCTTGTCAATTAAGAAGCCCGACGATTCTGAAGATGAGCTGGCATATGAGGGACCTGAGTTCACGTAAGCATCTAATAATACATGTCTTCATTTGACTTTATCATAGAATGCATCTATTACAGTTTCTGAATGTTTCTGTTCTTTTTTACAGTGATTTGGATGAAAATCTGCAAAAGGCTTTTCTCAAGTATCTCGAGATCCGGGGGATAACAGCAGGCACAACCAACTTTTTGCAGGAATACATGTTTAACAAAGACAGCAAGGAATATTTATTGTGGCTGAAGAAAGTGAAGAGCTTCGTTGAGTAAAAAGAGAAATGAACTGTAATACTTGAGATTGATATTTGGTGTCAAAGCATGTTATGTATGTGGAAGCTAATAATTTTTGAAAAACTTGGATTGTTTTAGTTTGATATTTATAGTTTTACTTCGCCCTTCAATTAATATAAGAGTCTGGGTGGTTCTCATTTGTGTTTGTTTACCTTTCAGTCTTGAGATGCAAGTTAAATGTGTTCGTTTACCTTTATTTACTTCTCTGGTCATTCATATTCATGAGTTGAATTATGATTTTGTAGATGAGTAAAAAGCATATTATATTTGCTCGGTTAAGAATAGAAGTCTTGTGAAGTAGCAATACACCTTTTAATCCTTCAAAAAATTTCCCAATCTTAGGTGATATAATATGGCTGAATGTCTATGATAAATTTTGTTTTATTTTTTTAATTTTAAATATTTGATATTTTAAATATCTTAGATGAGATAATATGGATGAGTGTCTATCATAGATTTTTTTATTTGTTTTAATTTTAACAATTTGATATTTTCAATTAATTTTACACCATTAATTATAAGAGTATACTGTGAACACCTAATATTTTCGTTCAAAACCCAAAAAAAAATTAAAGAATTAAAATAATAAAGTTCCAAAAACCAACAAATATAATCTCTCACCAACTTTGACTTTAACTTGAACTTATTTAGAAATAAAATAAATAGTGATTTAATGAGATTTTTTTTCTGCAATTCAATTACAACCCAGCATCAGATCTCATTAATAATTGGCATGGAGTCTTTTATTCAAACTTTTTTCATCTAATTCTTCATCAAAAGTAAAAAAAATTATTATGAAAACCTAATTAAGATGCAATTCTCTAAAAAAATTTAAATGCAAGAAAAAGATATTAGTTTACTAACATCTTTTGCTATTCTCAAAATTTTAGATTTGTTGATTTTGGAATTTTAACTTTTTTTAGGTTTTAGACAAAAATTTATGAAGAGTGATAAAAAGGAAGATGAAGAAGAGCACGATAAAGATATATAAAAAAATATTAGGTTTTAACCTTATACAATTATAATTAATAGACCCTTCAAAATCCAAAGTTATAAAATTCTTTAAAAAGATCAAACCATCAACATCCGAATCTGTAAAATTAATTAAAAATCAAACCATCAAGATCCAAACCTATAAAATTAATTTAAAAGACCAAATAGTTAAAATTAAAAAAATAATGAAAATTATGGTGAACACTTAATTATTTAAGATATTTAAATTATTAGTTAATGAAGTACAGTTTTTAAGAGAATAACTTATAATATTTTTTAAATAAGAGATTAAAATAAACTTTTAGATTAAATTAAGGGATTGCGCCTAATTAACTAAGTCAAATATTTGTACTAGACACAAACCCGACATCACTTTTGAATTTGACCTTGTTGTTTTTGGATATTTATTCTCTTTATTTTTATCATGCTATTTTTTTATTTATTTTTATACTTATTATATTTTTATATAAATTTTTTAACATTTGAACAATGAAGGGATGATGTAAATAATCTTTCCATATTACGTCATTGAGTCTTTGATAATCAAGACATACTATTTATGAGGTGACACTTCGAATCAAAATTAACTTGTTTCTATCGTTTATTACTGTAATTACTTTTTTTTTTCTTAGTACTACATGTACAAGATTTATCCATAAAATGTCAAAGAAAAAAATAGATGAGACATGCATTCAATAGATTTATAACTTATTTCTTAGCACCGCTTTCGTAGATGGATTAAGTCTTTGTAGTGGTTGCACTATTAGTTTATGATCATATTCCATGCAAATTTTGTGCATACAGAAGGTTAGGGTAATACCCTTATGGTCTTCAATAGACCAACATATCGCTCCACGGTGCTACTTTAGAATCTTCAATAATTTTTCTTCTTCAAATGAATTTAGACTAGAACGAATAGTAGCTGAAAAATTATATTTCTCTCATGAGAATATTTATTTTAGATGATCAGGTAGTTGTTTAAGATCTACCTCTTTTTTCTTTGGTGCGCTATTTCATGTTTTTATTTTCATTGTTATGCATCAATTCTTCCCACTGACGTTCTTGTGAGGGATGATGGTGGTGTGGCATATAGCACGACTATGACTTTAACTTCTCTTTAGTCACCATTTTCTTTGACAAGTTTTGATGGCATTGCTTAGAACACTTTCAATAAAATATATGGAATCTGATTTTTAAATGTATCTCTAACGATAGAGTTGATCATGTCGACTAGGTAACATTCTTCTTTGTCTTCTTTAGGCTAATCGTACACCTCAAGTGTTAGTGTACCATCTTCTAGGCCTATTATGCACTTATTTATTAACAAGAATTACCTTCCAAGAATCAATGTGATGTTATCATCTTCTAGAATTTCTAATGCAACAAAGTCCACTAGAAAGATAAATTTGTCCACCATGACCATCGCATCTTTTACAATTTCATAAGGATGTTTGATGGAATGATCAACAAATTCAAGTGTCATCATTGTGTCGCTTATTGTTCCAACACTCAATTTCTTGTAGCTAACGTATCAAACTTACACTAACTCTCAAAATTAATAAGAACGTTCTTAGATGTTTTATTATTTGGACCGAACTCTAATATCGACAAAGGTAGCTTCATGGTTTGACATGAGTTATGTATTTTGTAGTCGAAGTCTATTCGAGCATACTATCGAAATACATTAACTTATAATTTAAGTTAGTATGTCGAATTGGATCTTACTTTTAAGCCCAATTGTTTAAGTTTGTTTGCTATTCAAGTTAGATTAGTATTCTATAAATATGCTAGTTCTCTTTATATATATATATATATATATATATATATATATATATATATATATATATATATATATATATATATATATATATATATATATATATATATATATATATATATATATATATATATATATATATATATATATATATATATATATATATATATATATATATATATATATATATATATATATATATATATATATATATATATATATATATATATATATATATATATATATATATATATATATATATATATATATATATATATATATATATATATATATATATAGAGAGAGAGAGAGAGAGAGAGAGAGAGAGAGAGAGAGAGAGAGAGAGAGAGAGAGAGAGAGAGAGAGAGAGAGAGAGAGAGAGAGAGAGAGAGAGAGAGAGAGAGAGAGAGAGAGAGAGAGAGAGAGAGAGAGAGAGAGAGAGAGAGAGAGAGAGAGAGAGAGAGAGAGAGAGAGAGAGAGAGAGAGTTTAACTGTTGGTATTCACTTGTAATCTTCGAACCTTTATTGAGAAAGTGAATAGAAAAACAGATTTAACCAAATCTTTATTCTTCTTCATTCTTCTCTCACTTTTGTAAAACCTAATAGGGTTTCTTGTATTTGTTCAAGAAACTCATATCTTTTTCTCATATTTTGGTTTGTTCTTGACAACATCAATTCACAACAAACTGGTGCGGCGAGCATGGAAGAGAAGATATCGTCAACAAATTATGAGATTGAGAAATTCACCGGTGAGAACGATTTGGGTTTGTGGCGCTTGAAAATGCAAGCCCTTCTTGTTCAACAGGGTTTGTTAGAAGCGTTGAAAGGATCAGAGAAGATGGGTGGTGCCTTAACAGAGAAGGAGAAGACAACGATGGTCGAAAAAGTCTACAATTCCATTGTGTTGAGTCTTGGTGATAAGGTTCTCCGGCATATTTCAAAGGAGAAAAATGCAGCTGGTGTGTGGATAAAACTTGAAGGTTTGTACATGACAAAATTGTTGGTTAATAGTCTCTACCTGAAACAAGCTTTGTATTCATTCAAAATGAGTGAGGACAAAGCCTTGTCTGAGCAGTTGGATATGTTCAACAAGTTAATTCTTGATCTTGAAAATGTCAAGGTCAAGATTGATGATGAAGATCAAACGTTGTTGTTGTTGTGCTTTTTACCTAAGTCTCATGCTCACTTCAAAGAAACTCTCTTGTATGGAAGAGAGTCATTGACCTCAATATGCCTTGTACTATAAGGATTTGAACGAACGAAAGGAGCACAAGCCATCTTCTGTTGGTGAAGGTTTGTTCGTTAAGGGGAAATTCTTGAAGAAAGATGGTAGGTTTGAGAAGAAGAAGGGTAAAGTTCTACAAAATTCATATGGTGGTAATGCTCCTACTATTAAGTGTTATCATTGTAAGAAGGATGGACATACAAGAAAATTATGCTCTGATCATCTGAACAATCATGGTGGAAATGATAATGGTAATGCAACCATTGTGCAAGATGGTTATGAATCATCTAATGTCCTGGTGGTTTCAATCAACGACTCTAGCAAGGAATGAATTATGGATTCATGGTGTAATTGGAACATGACTCCAAAAAAAGACGTGTTTGAGGAATTATGTGAGCAAGATGGTGGATCAGTGTTGTTGGGAAACAACAAAGCTTGCAAAATTGCAGGTATTGGATTTGTGTGATTCAAGCTCCATGATGAGTCAATAAGACTATTGACTAATGTTAGATATGTACCTGATCTTAAGAGGAATTTGATTTCTATTGGTGAATTCAATAAGAAAGGATATGCTTTCAAAGGAGAGCAAAACATCCTAAGGATGATTGAGGGGTCGAAGGAAGTCTTGAGAGGCGTGAAGAAATAATGCTTGTATACCTTTGAGGCTGAGGTTGTAAGTGGTTCAGCAGATGTGGCATCCAGGAAACCTGTGTTGAAGACTGAACTATGGCACAAGAGACTTGGACATGTCAGTGAAAAAGGCCTGGTCGAATTATTGAAACATAATCTGCTGGGTGGTGACAAGGTCGAAAAACTGGAGTTTTGTGAACCTTGTGTATTTGGTAAATCTTGTAGAATGAAGTCTAACAAAGGTAAACAAAGAACACATGGATCCCTTGGTTACATTCATGCTGATCTTTGGGGGGCCAACAAGGAAACCTTCATACTCAGGTGCAAAGTATTTTCTATCCATAATCGATAATT